TTTCAATTTTATATACAAAGTTGATAACTTTATTTTGTATTTATATAATAATAATAAAAAAAATTTTTTGTTTAATAAATATATACAACTGTGTGCGTAATAATAGCAGTGGCTAATGCAAAGTTAAATTGTCAATACCAGAATGTGGGCCCCAATACTACTACCCTGTATTTAAATTAATTTCTGATATAGTTACCACATTCATGAAATCCCGTTACTTTTTGTGCTATGCGGTACTATTTTACTGTGGTTTAAAATGGTAGTTCCAGTAAAATAGCCGTGTTGTGTGAACGAATCCAAGTCAAACTGGAAAATTGTAATTAATTTTGAATGCTGGAAGAATTATTTTCCTAAATACATCGTTTATAGAATATTAGAATATATTTCTATTATTATTATCGTGAAAGAATAGAGCGCAAAGAGGTTCTTTCTCTGACAGAGTTGAGAAAAAATGTGGCTTTGGCTCAAGAAAAGAATTAGAACAAAGTCGATAGTAGCCAAACTTTTTGTCAGGAGTCCAAGACGAGTGCATTATTTCTGCACCGACATGTGCAGACCTGAAATAAATTTGCCTAGGAACATAAGCATTGACCAGTCCAGAAATGCCGTAATATTTTATGGTTCGATAAGACAAAAATTGTTTTCCTTTTGTTCTAAGGGACGTCTATAAAATGTGCGAAGGTCAGAGAATGCATCATTTTACCCCAGATACGTTTCCCGGACTACAAAATATAGCGGGGAAAAATCAATGTGTGAGGTGCTTCTCTTACTATGATACAGGTCCGATATATTTTATAAAGGGGAACATGGACGCCACATTGTATGTCCACATAATCGACTCTGCTGCAGCGTGCTGAGTGTAAGATACCGCTGAAATGGGTCTATCAACAAGCCAGCGCCCCTAAGCATACCAGCAACTTGGCAAAAAGTTGTTTTGCTTTAAATGGGGATGAGGTTATGACTGGCCGGCTCAGTCTACTGATCCTAATCCTATTGAGAATCTTTCAGAAGATGTAAAGGCAGAGGTAGGGAAAGACAATCCATGAAATAAGAAGATGATGTGGGCGGTAGTGAGGAATGCATGGACGTCTATTCTTCCCAAGAATTGTAGGTTCATTTTAAAAAAGAAATATATTCTAATATCCTTAAAACGATGTATTTACGGATATAATTCTTCCAGCATTCCAATAGTTTTAAATGAAATTTTCAACTTTGACCTGAATTTGTTCACACAACACGGCTATTTTACTGGCACTGCTATTTTAAATCACAGTAAAATAGTACCGCGTAGCACAAGCTTTCATGAATGTGGTAACTACATCAGAAATTAATTAATTAATTCGGGCCTACATTCTGGAAAATCCTTACTTAAATTTGCATTAGCCACTGCTATTATTACGCACACGGTTGTATTGTACTTACATAAGAAAAAAAATGCATTTAAAATAATTTTTTATTTTCATTCAAATCAGGTTTTGCAAGCTTCGATCCATTTGAAGTGATATTCGACTACTTTTTGGCACTTTTTGCACAACGGTACCAATGTCATATCTCGGTGGTAAATTGATATCGCCAACAACAGATATTATGTGGAGAGGAAATTTCTCCAATAAAGCCATATTCGCTCGTGTTGTGTAGCATCATCTTGTTGTAACCTCATATTGTCAAGTCGTGTTTTTGAAGATTCTGGGAATCCTAAATGCTACAATTTTGTTTATTTTGGCAAAATGTGCTACGACCAGAAATAGACAAAGTCGGGTCTTCAGCTATACTTTTACTTATTAGGGATATTTGAGTTCGAGAAGAAAGATGAGCGACCTTACAATATCTGTTACCGGACACGTTTGAATCATCATTATTGTAGTAGCCTTTGTGCGGTTGTTAAGCGATCCGACACATGCCAAAATTCAGAGCTGTACTTTTGAAACCACGAAATGGATTACCCTCTATATTAAATATTTTACTTTTTTATTAATTTACTTTTCTTAATACCAAAACTTCAAGTTTTGACATAGTAAAAACAAACACATTGCAAAGTGAAAGAAGTTGATCGTAAAAGATTGATACACGTGTATTATTGGCAGAATGTAACACCTTTGTTTAATGGCAATTTCCCCCCCCCCTCCATCTTTTTATTTATTATCTGTTTTAGAACAATAACTCGAATCTATGAAAACCGCATAAAAAGAAACAACACATGTTTCACATTGAGTATGTTAAATAACGAAAAAGATGGATCAGAGTATACTCAGTTTAGTGAACAACGTACAAAATATAATACTTATTTACAAATCTATCATTCAATTAAATAAGAATAAATATTAGAAACTAGACGGTTACGTTTGTGTGCTTCTGGATCGTAATTATTAGTTTTGTATTTATGGTGCAAAATGATTAAACGAAATACATTTGTTTCCATGAAATGGATCAGCGACAGAATGTGATCACCGGCAGATTAACAAGAATTAGTGTGATTAGGGGAAAAGCATAGATTGTGCGTAGGTATGCTCCTTGCGCAATGTTATTATTCTGCGGCTTCAACGATTTCTTCTGAAGTTGTACAATTTTTTGAACAAAAGCATCTACATATTTGAGATTAGAAACTGCTTACTGAACGCATTGGTAAAATAGAGCTGGTTATTCACTCAGAGAATTTGAATCCATACATATGTACATACATATACAACAAATAATAAAAGCACCTTTTCGTCGTGTGTTTACAAGAAGCTTTAGGAAACCGCTGTAAAAAGTGTTATGTATTTGTATATTTTAAGATACATAAAATCATATTTTAACATTCTACAACTGATGATAAATGTCGGAAAAAGCGGTGCTCGATGCTCTAATTATACTTGATTCTTAAAGCAAACTATTTATTGTGGTTGAATTTTGAGGACTTCCAAGATTGCGTGGAGTACCTATTTGTTTTTATATGTACGTACGTGTGTATGCAGGTATCTATCTATGTATGTACAAGGTATATAGACGTACATACATAGATATGAAAACGATTGTTAATTCGCATTGATACGTCCGTGCTTGAATGGTTACATTTGTGAACGTATGTATGTACATATTTAAATACATACATATGTGTGTAAGTTGTGCAAATAAATTTTCGTTACTATGTTATGTACGTATCTATATATTTGTAGTACATATACATACATATATAAATACATCTGTATATGTACTACTTCCAGTGACTACTTTAAAGCCTGCATACCACAGATTCCAGTGAAACCAATTCTCCAAACATCCATTTTCCAGTTCAACATAAACACGATCAGTCTACTCTTTTCGGTCGCTCATCAGACATGTTAAAAAGTTCGTTGCTCTACTAAATTCCAATGAAGTCCTATCAATAACAATATATGTATGTACATACCTACATACATACATATAAACAAATATAAATAACAATGTTGGTATGCACTTTGTAAACCTTTTACCTTTGAAACAACAGGGAATCAAATTGTTATTTCTTTAAGCATATGCAAAATGTTTTCGATCAACTGTCTTCGGGAGCGTGTTCGTTAAAAGGAATTCATACTTTACTTAAACACATACATATATATGTATGTACACATATATATATGTCTTATATCTACATTCAAGATCTACTATAAGATCTTTATGTGCATATAATAACAGAGTAGCAATCTACCATTCATCAATAAAAAGAAGTTCGATCGAAGAAGTGGGAGAACCTTTTCATTTGAATGCAACTGGGTTTCGAAACCGTCCCCCATTTTTATAGCCAACGAATTCTTAACAATAGTAAAATGCCCAAAGCTTCTGACTGCTTTGTGAATCTTCGCAACTGGTTGCTATAGAATGCTCGATGGAGAGAAATGAGGATATCAGTGAGCCAGTTTTATGTTAGTGCAATGAGCAGTTCGATGTTTTTCTCAAAGGTTACAGTTCCAATGATTCCACCTTTCCTCTATTGTAATAAAGAGGGAAATGTCAGCGGCTATTAAATCGACAATAACGTATTTTTATATTAACTTAACCCCTTTGAAACCCATGTGTACGCTTCCGACGCCAAACATAAATACAATACCTAAGAAACTCTTCCATTTCATAGTTTCATATGTCCCGAACATGCATATTTAAATATACTCACGCAAACACATCAGCTTGCAGAGACCATACTTGATAGAACTTGTCTCCCTTCCTCGCTCTCAGTAACAACAAAATAAAATAGAATAAGAACAAGCCAATACGCAGACGTAAAGGCTCCACATTCATTAAACCAATTTACTAAGAGTTAAACAAGAAGTTAAAACCGAAGTTAACAGTATGTATAGTAAAAAAGAAGAGTTCGGAATACAGTATGACCTCGTTAAGTAAGACCGTACTGTATCCTTTTAAGCTGCAACTACCCAAAAACATCGATGCTTGGTGCAACTACCCATTGTACATACCTCCCAGCCGAACCACTGGGCTGGAAGAGGGATATGCATAAACGAGTTAAACATGCTGCTAACAGCCACGAAATGCTGCTTGTATACGTTTAAGCAAATTTATAATTTTCGTCAAACGAATTTCATAATTTATATGTTTGAATATAAACGCCAATCAAATATACAAGATCTATTTGGTAATAAATAATAAATAATTATTTATGAATTCAGCTCTCATTTCCTTTGGAAAACTGCGCATTTTTTTTTAGTTTATTTAACATTCGTTCAAAAAGTCAATAATGGCAACCTTGTATAACAGAGAGCAATGAGCTTAACCGGTTTTACGGAAAAAATTAAATCGCTATTGGTTTCTGGGGGACAACCGTCAGTAACGGCAACCGCAGGCAGTGACAATTTTTCAATTACATGGTGCTCTCAAATATAGGTTGGTACGGCTGGGAGGCGTGTAAAATGGTTAGGTGCAGCATGAGCTGTCTGTTTTCGTAAAGTAACTTACATAGAATACATTACACTTTACAATATACATATGTATGTATAGAAGTAAATAGGTAAAAAATATATTTAACTCACCCTGATAGACTTTGCCAGATATTCTTAGAGTATTGCTGGAATCCAAGTCTTGATGTTGTTGCTGATGCTGTTGGTGCGATTGATGATGTTGATGTTGCTGATGACACAGAAGGCCGTTTTGATTTTGACTTTTTATTCGTTGTTGTTGTTGTAACAAGTGATTAGCCGAATTGATTTTCATAGGTGCTTCTGGGATAGACGAAAATACTTGCGATTGGTTCTGGTGCTGTAACGTACTTTGACAATTTTGTGTGAGATTGAATGGCGACAGCCCTTGAAAGGTACCTGCTCCGTCTGCTGATACCGTATTTAACGGCGAATGACCATGTGTCGGGCAGAAAGTATGAAGTTCACCTCTGGTATCGATTAGAACAGGCGTTGCTTCCAAAAGATGCCAGGGAGTTGCTGCTAGCACCCTGGAAATAGTATTTTTTTTCTGTTGTGGCCCAATAGCAGCAGTGCTGGAAGACGGTAAGCTGGGCGGAGCCAAAGAAATAACTTGCATTGGATAGAGTTGCGCTTGTTGCGACGAATTTGTAGCAGTAGTAGCTGCACCGGCCCCTGAAGTCGGTAAACTCTGCAAATGAATGTGTGGCAAACCACCCAACGAGTCGCTTTGCTGTATTACGTGTTGTTGATGTTCAATAGAAGATGTTACACAATTTTTATTTCTTTGAAATATTGGTACAATTTGTTGCTGTTGTAGTTGCTCATCTTGCCCGTGCAGATGCTGTTGAAGACGCGTTTCATTGAGTTTAATTGGGATATGCTGCTGCTGCGGTGAATTCTGCTTTGTCGGTGGCGGCTGCGATTGGTAGTAAATTGAGGTTTGTCCAAAGGCATACAACGAGGATGACATAGTAGTTGCAGACGAGGAGGTTTGCAATTTTTTCCGTGCAGGATGGAATGAAGGAGCCAGTGGCGTTAATTTTGACTTTAAAGCCTTAAGAGCCAGTGCTACAGAAGGAGTAGAATTTTTGTCCATCGACATCATTTGTTCTTCTTTTGGCCTTGACTGAATAATTTTGGGGTGGTGATCAAAGGTCATGGTAACTGAAGTGGCCGGTATATTACTTTCTATTAGACTATTGGTTTTCGGTTTTTGAATTTCTCCAACTTCTTCCAAGAGATTTTTATTATTATTATCATCCAAAATATTTTTTATATTCCTATTTGTGGATTGTGAAATGAAGTGGTCAGCATCGTAACTGTGATCATAATATTCTTTCTCTTCAATCTGGTTCTCAGAGCGGGACACCTCTAAGATCTTAGGCGTCTCGGCAAGAATTTTATTGGTTGATTGCTCTTGGTCGTGTAATATAGAACTTTGGGTATTGTTGATTATTTGATAGCTCTCTCCAATAAATGCAACTAATTCTCGGCACGCTAAATTCACATCTTTATTGTCATCTACATTATCGTCCTTAATATCTTGCCAAGAGGAAGGGCATTGCATTTTTCCACTGCGCTGCCGATAACTTTCTTGTGCACAATCTATGACGTGCTCAATAATTCGAAAATTCTCGTAGTCGATAATACGCTCCTGATAAGTACAGTTCGCTAAAGTTTCATCACAATCACAATTAAATTGTGTTGCAGCGTGGCAAGTGCACTCGACTGGCTCAACAAAACTTTTAGAATCTAGCGAATGCTTTAAAGAATTATCACACTTAATGAGACTGTTACTACTTGTACATACACTGTCACCATTCAAAACGCAAAATTCTCTACATAAAAAGTGATTTCCATCTTCCAAACTATCCGACTCGCTCGCGCAAAATCTTTTCATAGACCATGCATGTGTAAGATCCTTCTGGTTTTTATCTTGAACACTTTTTTTTTTCAAAGTTGGGCTCCGATGTTCGTCAATTTCAACTTCAACATTTGCGTCCAACTGATTCACAAAGCGTTGGCTCTTATCACTTAGGGCATCCGTTTGGGTGCTAATATCGACACACCGTTTTGTTAATACTATCTTTTCCGAAATAAGGTCAGTAGAGAATTTTTTCTCATTATCGCGGTTAAAATCTTCTGCTGCCGTAACAGGTTGTGAATGCAGTATACTAATTAAAGGTAATGCTGATGTTAGAGACTGAGTACTAAAAGAAGATGTTGGATTCATTGATAGTGTTTGAGTTTGAGTGTCAAAGAATTTGATGTACTAGCACTTCTATCACTTATTTCTGGCGTCGTTCTTAACTTATGACAGTAGGACACAGACGGTATCTATGTAAGTATGTGTATGTGGTTAGTCGAACATATAAAAAATCAGAGGTGCAGCCACATTTACGAACTATACGTACAAATCTGAAAAAGAAAGAAATATAATAAGAATACTTGACGTATATACATACATATGAAATTTTTATTAACAGGCAATATATAATTGGCAATGTAAAAACACGAATTTTTCATAAAATTGCTCACGTAATTTATGGACAACTCCAAAGAGGAGTCAATTGACAATTTGATAAGCAAAAGAAATCCATATAGTGTGGAAAAACGAACCCTATGGTGTCAACGCTTTATATTGTATTATTTGTCTTCTTCCTTTTTTGCATCCCTTCACTACATGGTATAAAACTACATAGTATAAAACGAAGTCACTTTCTCTGTCCCTATGTCCCTTTGTATGCTTAAATCTTTGAAACTACGCGATGGATTTTGATGCAGTTTTTTTTAATAGACAGAGTCATTTAAGGGGAGGGTTTATATGTATAATAACAACCAATAAATAGTGGAGAAGTACTGTTATTTTTGAGGTTTCTAATGTGATGTCGTAAATAATTACATTTTTTCCGCAGGCTGAACACTACGAGTTTTATCAAAATAATGTATTAAGTATTGTACACATTGAAAAGGTCTACAGAAAAGTCCATGTCTTTTGTCATTTACTTTTTACGACAAATAATGGCTAATTTTCGAAGCGATTTTAACCAATACAGCATTAATCCTTAACCAATTAAATACCTTGAATACATTGTTCATTTAATATAGATCTATATAGCCCTTTACACCGTATGATTTAAGTGAATATTTTCGAAGATATTACAGATTTAAAAATTGCGGGACGTAGCGTTTGCGGCGGAACAGGCCAGCCGCCCAGTGCGGCAAGAGCGTGCCTATAAATAGCGCGTCTGAGGCCGCGGTTTTGCAAACCTTTGGCCACATGTCAATAAATTAGAGATTAAAACTAATATGAGGATTTCGCCATCTTCACGTAAGAAGATGATGCTTAAAGTTGGCAATGGAGAGTTAATACAAAGTAAGGGATGGATTGACCTAAAAAACCTTTGCGTTTTTATAGACAACATCCAAGAGTTAGTCAATAATGTCTATCCTGACATTGATAACATAAGTTAAGACAATATCTTGGTTTAAAGAAAGAGCGATTCTGTCACCAACTAACGAACAAGTAGATAAGGAAAATAACTTGATTCTTTTAAAGATTGATGCGCCGACGATACTGTTCTCGATTTGGAAGAAGCTCTTCATTTTCCTACAGAATTTCTAAACACTTTGATCCCGTCTGGACTCCCTCCTCACAAAATGGTGTTGAAAGTAGGTTGCTCTGTTATTTTATTAATAAACCTTAATCCACCTAAACTTTGCAGAAGGAGAAGATGATTCCCCGAATCCTTCTAACACCATCGGATTTACCCTTCCAATTTAAACATTTACAGTTTCCTTTAAAGACATCTTTTGCAATGACCATTAATAAATCGCAAACCTTCAACGTTGCAGGCTTAGATTTGAGCGTTGACTGTTTTTCACATGGACAACTGTATGTCGCTCTTTCAAGAGTGACCTCCAGAGAAAACATGTTTGTATTGTCTAATGACAAGAAAGCTGTGAACGTTGTTTATAAAGACATTCTGTAATATGATGTAAAAATAAAATAAATAGTTAAAAATGTAAAAAGTAAATAAGTAACAATAGCAGGAAATCTTCATGGTATATGGAAAGGGGGATTGTTTTATTCCAAATTCAACGCGTGCGGGCCACGGGCAGTAATGAATAAATCAAAACTACTGGATCGATTTTAATCACATAGGCTATGTATTTTATACGCCGCTATGTTTTTATATACAACGTTCTCAGTTTTTCTGTAGTGTATTTAGTATCAGCATTGCACCCGTGCGAGCCGGAGCGGGTCGCTAGTTTATTATAAATCGCTTTGTTTAAAATTATCCGTTATTCTAACGAAATTTGAATTCCTGCAAAATGTATTTACATATACGTGTATTTGCCGTTTTGAGTTGCTTCGTTTTTAGATTTTTGACTAGACGATTTTATTCGTTGGTCAGCAGCCGTAGAACACACAGCAAAACAAACCATTCCGTTCTATTATGTTGAGTTTATTTTAAATTGTGTTAGTATTTGAAAGCGTTAAATTTGTTAAAGAATGACCATCGTTTGCAAATACGTAGGTGAAAGATTATTTTAATCAGCAAATAAATTTGAATTGAAAAACCAATAAATATTAAACAAATAACATCTTTCGAATGAATTATCCCATTCGTAATTCATAAACTCTTCACCCAAACACTTATTACATACGAGTATATTGATTAAAGAATCGACCTCACCCAAAATACCCTTACTTTTCCCCGGTTATCCAGGTTTTCCTGATCGCTCGCCTCCCTGAATTTATATGGCAAATCTAATTTTACATTGAAAAGGTGTCAAAATTGCTTATCTATGCTAATTTATTTTTTTAATATCTCTGCTATATTTGCTTCTTTGCAATGAAACAAAAATGTTTACTTTACTTACAAACAATCTGGATGTGCTCGTTCGCCTACGATTCAAATCAAATCGACGTCGTGTACAAAAAAAAATACTTATATATGTATGTATGTACATATTGTATGCAAATTTCTAAACTGATGGGAGCAGCGGGTGAATAAACGAGGAGCTTTTTTATTTCCTCGAGCCCTTGTTGGCTCACTTATTTTTTATACAAAATTTATTAACCGGATATCTTGAGCCCATAAAATTAAAAAATTTAGTTAAAATTTGGTCATCTCGAAATGAATGCATGAATGTATGAATGTATATTCACCATTTCTTGGAAAATAGGTATGTAGCGGAAATTGTAAATACTTCCACCACCAAACCACATTATAAGTTCTGATATGCTTTATTGTAGTGGCACTAAGGGCATAACATGGGGAAAATTATTGAAGATTAACTAGTGAATTTAAACTTCAGCATTATTCCAGTCCATAATAAATATCCTTCTCTGCAAAGTGTATTTATACGTATATTTAATTATTCATGTTTTAAACAGACTGACGCTGTGTGCACTTTATAAACATATGGATGTATCCACACTGTAGATGCAGGTATATCTGCATACGTGTACGTACACACGTAAGAATGTTTTATGTTAAAATAACATGAAAACTTGGACATAACAGTCTGAAGAGAAATGGAAATGTATAGCCCAACAGGTGGTTGAAACAAAAGTTATACCTTTTTGTCTCCGGACCATACGTACTTAGATACATACATACATATGTATATGCTAGCACGATAAAAATATTTATAAGGTAACGACTCACTCAATTTAGGCTCGATTATCCTTTTATGACGATTATTAGCATTTGAGTAAACTCTTTCAAAATTTATATCGGAAAATTTATAAATTAAATGAACGAATTCAGATACAAGATTGTCAAACCGATATCTATCTACAGAAAATAGTGCTTAGTACTGAAATTACATTTTATAATGGCTATATAATATTTGGAAAATATTGGTAGTCTGTTATGGCAATTAGTTGTATCCTTTTGTGAGAGGCTCAAAAAATGTAAGCAAACGGTCATATTTCAAAAGGAAATGGATTTTTACATATATGTTATTGAGCACACGAGCGCAGTTGCCAAATGGTTAGCAGTGCGTCCCATCATTGGAAAGGTCATGGGTTTGACCAATATTAAAAATTGTGGAAAATTCATTAAAAGAAAGAAATTTTCTGGCTGCGGTACCACTCTGCCGGGGATGTCAAAACTCTCCGAGTGTGTTTCTCACTTGAAATAAAAGGTCCTCATAAAAATCCAGTAGCAATTTTCTCGGCAGAGAATGTCAAGCGCTCATATGAAACAAAAGCAAAAGTTGCAGGCTTTATCTGAAGTGAAAATTGTGATGAACTATGAGAATGGATTACTACTCAAATGAGGATGAAAAGTCTGTCGAATACTAATATACATGTCTCCGTTCATCGTGATCACAACAAAAAATTAGTTGCTTGAAAATCAGTTTTATTGTATAATTGTTTGTGGGGCTAACCTGAGGCAGCATAAACAATCTTGCAGCGTTTATAAAATATCCCATCAAAATGGGCACATTCTGCTAGATTAGGTTGTGTCATCTGACACGTGAGTACATGTCTGCCTATCTTATCTTATTGTTCACCCAGCAAATACTAAAGATAACATGATACGAAACACTCACAATTTAAAGATAAATACGTTGCACGATTAATATTTCTGGGGTGGAAGCAGAGCTAAATGAAGGAACTTCAAACAGCTGATCGTTTAAAAGCCTCAGTACCACTTAGTTATTAATTAAATGCACCGTTTTTCGTTAGAAAAGCAGTTTATGTTTTCAATAAATTTTCATTGAGCATAGCAAATTCGCATTTAAAAATGAAAAATAAGTATTAGTTACATTTGCTGAAGTCAAATATACCTGTAAATGTTCAGAAATATTCATTAGCACAACCTTTTGCTAGCAAAAAAATGCAAAAACAAAAGAAACTATTTCACCGCAGTGGCACTGTTGGAAATGTTATGAAATATGTAGATTTTTAGAGTGCTCTCACGAGGTAAAGAGCTTCGTATTATGTTACCCTTGTTTATGAGAGCGCCATGTAAATACAAAATTACCACCGATTAGCGCAGCCACTACTGACAGTCGTCAGAGAGAAACCAAGAGCAATTTAATTTTTGCCTTAAAACTGGCTCAGCTGATTGCTCGTTGTTGTACAAGACTTTTAAATTAACGAAGACTGCATCGAAACGATAAATTTCACGTTCATCACAAAACTTTTTTTTTGTTTTTACCCGAAACGAAAAGATGTCGTTAATTTTTTACAGCTGCTGTTAAATCATATCAAGCAGCCATTTTAAAATTAACGTTAATCAGAAGTTTGAGCGATTCAACACTGACGATTTCATTACGTTTGATTTCGGTAAGTTTAGTTTTCATATTAACAAAATGAAATGGTAATAAATTTAGCATAAGAAAATTCTTTTCAAAAGAAACGGAGAACTTAAGAAATGAGAAGTTGTATTTAATTATTTATAACCATATAGTTCGTGTAAATTTAAAAATATACCTGCAACCAGTCTGCGGACATAACTTTTGACAATTTACTCTCTTGAAGTCGGAAAGCGCGGATGGGAGGTGCGCTAGATGGCTGTTTGAGCTATATGCATGAAAGCATGAAAGCGGAAAAACACAAATATAGCACGAGCAAGCTCAACAGGAAGATAAGCGTCATTAGCCAAATACATACATGTGTATGTATGTACATACGTGTATGTAAGTGCAACATCTTAACATATTGACAGCGAGTTTGTTTATATATATCAAATCTATTAAATATGTTTCATTTACAATTATTAAGACCACCATAATTCGCAAACTCTGCTTCTAAAAAATGGAAAAAACCCGTTGGGGCTAATGCACGATGAATTTAAAGACACATATTTTCATCAATTAAACAAGCTTTTTCGTATTATATACAATATACTGGGTATTTACATAGGTTACATTCATTTGTACATATTTACATACATATGTATATATGAATGCATGTAAATACCAGTATCAATGAATGGTTAGTGACGAATATTACATATGAAGGTATATACATACATATATTCTAAATACATATGTTTTTCATGATTTTTGTTTAAAACAAACGTGACGTGGCAAAATACACTACATGCGAACTAGAGATGAACCGACGTGCACACAAGTTGTTGAGATTGTTGTAAACTAAGCACACAATAAATACACATACATATGTCTGTACGCATGCTAAGCCAATGATGTGTTTATTACTTCTCTCTTTAATATGTACATATATATTAAGTTTTTCTTTTCCGAAATCATTTATGTAAATGCACTTTTGTTTTAAAATGCTTCATACTTCATTCTTTGTCACCGATATCTGTATGCATATGTAACTATGTACATATGCATTTCCTCCAGCTGCACTCACTTTCAACACTTACATATGTGAATACATATGCATTTACATGTGTATATAGGTAAATATAAATGTTTTTTGTTTTCATGAAAACTTGCAACTATCAAAACTCGTCATTAAAAACAATAATTGATAACATTTCACCAAAAACCTGTTAAAAGACAAATTCCGGCATACTGATGGCAGGAGGCAGAAAATCCCAAATTCACTTGCAACAACGAACACGGAATCCGTTTGAATAATAAGTGAGAAAATGGAAAATGCATCAGACACTGACTTCACATGTGGAAGGTGAAAAGCGAATACCAACATAATATCACCATCATCGATATTTGCTGCGTTGGCGGGCTCTCCAGTTGTGCCAAAATACACCACTGCCAGTCACTGGCTACAACCCAACATCTGCTATAGCAGCGAAATAGGCATAAAGTTTTTGGATAAAAAACTAAACCGAGAACCAACAGGGCACACATGCACATACATATGTATGTATATATGTACATATGTACATAGGTACATAGGCACATACATTCCATATAAAATACAAAATGTATGTATATGGCCTTATATTTATATTAACTTGCATTATATACATACATACATTTTGCTTATTTGGCTACTCTGACAAGTGGCAATAACAATTTGCCGCTTTGGCTGCATCACATTTGCTTGGCAGCGCGTTTTTACTTAATGTTCTTCAACTTGTTTGGCCAAGAAAAAGCTCGCAAAAATTTGACGAAAATCTCATCATGCTTACGTGTACCAGAGTGTAACATATAGCCGTGGTAAACACTTCTGTGGATTTTATGTTCTCTCATAAGCCAAAACGGAAAGCTAATGTCCACATGCATACATACATGCACATGTATGTATATGGGTATGTGTGGTCGTACGGAGACTTTAAATACTACTCTGTAAACTAATACTAGAAAGCTTTATTATGGCAAACAGGAGCGTATATAAAAATTTTAAACTTTCTAAAGAAAATGCGATAAAATACCGGAAATCTGAAGCAATGGTACATTTATAATTCTTTAGGTATGTATGAAGAGCGTAAGAAATGGCAACATTGGTAACCGAATCTACTTTACAAAAATATGTACAAGTTAACGAATTCTGTATTCGTATTAAATAAAAAAAATATTTTTTATTTCTGGTCTTACGACCTTTTATTAACGAAGTCAAAACAAGAATTACTTAAACAATCTAAAATTTGCTAATTTATAACTTATGTGCTAACTTATGGCTCTGCTCTGGTTTAGAAGATTCCAGGAATTCAGCCCGCTTGCAATACACGTGGCGGAAATGCTGAGCATTGTAAAATAATCGTCGTGGTGTTGTTGTTGTGAAATGATGGTTTGAGCGGAAATCAGGTAGACCTGGCGTTAGCATTTATTATGGTGTGAAATCATAAGTTCATTTAATTTGTCAATTTGTTACAACGTAACT